AACTGAGCTGACTTCATAGAAAGAAAGGGGAAAAAAAAAAACATCACTATTCAAAAGCTTCCAAAATAAGTACCACGTTTGCACTCACGCAAATACTCGTTCTTTGAAGGAGGTTTATTATCATCAGGCAGTAGCTGACAATGTGTTATGTAAGCAAACACCAGCATTACTCAAGGACTGAATATATTGACCCCATCATAAATTTCTTCCTAGACTGAAGGAAAGCACCAGCTGCCATGTTTATATTTATCTTGGCAGGTCTGTGGGTTCTAGCCTGGAAGATACCAAGTAACAACGTCTGCAAAGTGTGAGAGCATGCACTTTAAATAATGCTATGAAGTTTCTTCACCTTATTATTTTCAAATATGTACTACGCAGATTTCAAGAGTGAAAGATATGAAATCTTAGTTGCATGAAGATCTCACCCTGAATAAGTAATGAAAGAAAGTCAGAGAAAGTATTTTCCTTGGTGCAGTAGGATCTCCTTCCAGACAATGAGATTCGCTTTGCTAATATTAATTTTTACCCATCTTGCCTGATTAAGTGGTAGACAGCCCTGATAATGGCAGGGACTTGGAACTAGATGATCTTTGAGATCCCTTCCAACACAAGCCATCCTATGATTCCATTCTATGAGTGTATGTATGAACAAAGAATTAAAAGACTAATTCCCACGTCCTGCTGCTGTGATCTTAAAATTAAGTGGCCAGTCTCTTGCCATTTTAGTGGGGTGGGGAGGTTACAGATAAGCTGGCTGGTTCCAAAGGTTGGTTCCAAAATTTTCCAACATCAGAAGAAATACGACATTCTACAAGTATCAAATATTCTAAATGTGTAACATTTTCAGAATGACATTTTCAGAACAACATTTTCAGAACAACACGGGTCTTGCTTTTTGGCTTTGTGGCTTTGTGAAAAGTGATGAAGATGCAAACAGTCAAAGCTGAATTGAGACAATTTAGATGACAGATGTAGATTTTGCTCCTTATTTTGCCATAACTAGTGAGGTTACATACATAGATAGGAGAGAAAAAAAGTTCTCCTACATGAAAAAAAAAAAAAAAAAAAAGCATTTCTTTTGCTACTGGCAAATAGAATGCAACGGCTGTATAATTCAGGTCATCCTTATTTTCTATTACAATACAAACAGAAATGTACAGAGGTAGATAAGTACACATCTGTCTTCATCAGTAGTAATACAAATACTGATAACTGCGTTATTAACACATTCTTCAGATGACATCAGGATTTTAGGATTTTCTTTTCCCTCACACCAATAATAAATTTGACTTCAGGAAACAATGCCTATTTAAGCCTGTATGGCCAATGGGAAGAGAAGCCTGCAGTTATAAAATAATGACTTTCAGTATGAAACACTGGGAATGTTCCTGCTCTTGTGGACTTGTACTTCATTCAGTTGAGTAGCTGTCTGTGAGCCTGAAAGGGAATGATTCCTAACACTAGCAATCATCCCCAATGTAATTTACTTCTCTGAATGCCAAGTGCTTAATTCTTAGCTTGGATGCTTTTTCTGAAGGACCTGTTGCAATGACAGTTAAGCATAGCAGAGGAGACAGGCCTCCTCCACCAACAGCTTTTTGATGCTCTTCATGTATTTTACACATTATCCTCTGAAGATCTTGCACAAGCTTCAGACCCCCTAAGTCTCTCCAACAGTACCACAGGAAATTGTTTGTGGGCTTCTATTCTACATTTTTGTGTTCTCTCTTCAGGGGGTCATTGTTAGAGCCCTCTAAAGCAGCTGACAAGTTTTGGTGACCCTTCACATGAGCTCTTCAGTCCTATGTAAGCTCTAACAGGCTCACTCATCTTAGTTCATGCATGTTGCCCTGGATGCAGAGATCACTAATGCAGAATCATTCCTTGAGCAGCAGGGCTGAAAGCAGAAGCAGCCAGTATCTCTGTGTGTTAATTAATATGATAATATGACAATTTTATGGCAGGAGTTGGTACACAAACTTCATTCAGCTTGATTATTTCAATGGAAACTACCATAGAGACTTTCAGACAGTTATGCAATAGAGAAACTTGACACGGACAGAAAGGAACTTTGGGAAGAAGGCTGGACTGAGATTGGGAAAGAAAGTGCATGAGATTGGATTTGTTTATGGGAGAAGAAGAAATCCCATTCCCTGTATTTGCAGTGAGGTTTCACAGAGATGCTTTTGCCAAGAGCTCCTGTAAATCTGCGTTGAAAATACTCTGCTAATTCAAAGGTAACCAACATCACCAGCTTGTTTTGGCTTTGAGATTTGGACTCACTGATGCTATAATGCTTAGTTAAATGTCCCTATCAAAGAGATGCCATGACTTGGAATGTACACTTCTGCAGAAGACAAAAAATAAGAGATGCGCTGCCCCATCTCTGCACTTCCCCTCATCTATTTCCTCCCTGCCTGACAGAAATTGTTCTCTACTCTATGGAGCATTATGGATGTTCTCATTAAGGAAATGGCCTACAGAGTAGCAAAACTTCCTTTAAGGTTTTTCTAAGAAATATGGGTTACTCTTCCTGTGTTATGCATAGCTCAGACAAGCTCTTCCCATTAATTCTCCCCAGCTCAGGGTGAACAAAAGTTGTTCGTGCTACAGCCCTGGTGGGATATTTTTTTTTTGCTGAATGATGTACCTCAGATTCCCTGGATATATAGTTTTCTTGTGTCTTCTAAATTAACACACACAGAGATTTCATTTCATGCATGTAAGAGGGATGCAATAAAAAAGTCAAACAAGTGTCAAGAGAACTGCCCCTTATCATCATTTCTGCTGTATTTTCACTGTGGGAGTTTCAATTCTCTTCAACAACTGACTCTTAATCTCACTTATGTCCATGTAATACGAATGTCAAAAGATATACAGTGGGATCTTTCAGCAATTGCTTGGGAAGATATTTTGAATAGCTGCCGGAGTGAAAAGATACTTCTGAGGAAGCTACAAAAAAAATCTGCTGCAGTGAAATGGAAGCAAAAACACTTCTGATAGTGTAAAACCCAAACACACTATTTAATACAATTTTCTCACAGGCTAGTTAATACTAGGCCACTTCTACGCATGAACAGCATCCTAAAATAATAAATGTTGCCTTAAGAAAATTGGTTACAAGGATCTTGAAGCTAACTGATGTATGCTCTCATGTCCCTCAAGGCATTAACATCTGATGTACATTCTGGAGATGAATCAGGCTCTGAAGTTGTATATGTATAAAAAATAAGCTGCCCCCCCCAAAAAAAAAGAAAATGAAAAAAAAAAAAATCAAAACAAGAAAGAATTGGTAGATATTA